GTGACTCTGAAAAAGAAAAAGATAAGATCATAAGAATTGAAAAAGTATGTGTGCTGGATGCCGATAACCAATTTCCCTTCACTCAAAATGAAGTTAAGTACACAGATCATCCCCACGAGGTGTTGTAAGATTAGTTAAAATGCTTCTCTTTGTTCTGCTTCAGGCTGCTAAGGTTAAAAAGTATCTAAAGGGCTTTTTGGTATATAGATGGCTTGCTGTGATAAATTTATCAGATAGGACCAACCACTTGGGGAACTCTAAATACTATAAACAGATGCAGTATCAAGAACATGTTGGTGAAATAACAAAAAAAGTCTGGATTTATGAACTAAGCCTGTCAAGTGGGCAGAACTTGGTGCTGACAAACTTCTGTGGCAGCGGCAGCCAATTAAAATTAGTCTGTTTTGGTAATGCAATCAAATGACGCAGTAGAAAATACAAACAAAAAAATAAAATAAAATTTTTCAATAAGATCCCTTCAAGTATGAATTGTTTCCCTTTTTTAACAGTTCTGTTTGCAGGATGGTTAGAATTTCCAAGCTCTGTCAAGTAGCACACGCATGCAATCAACACAATAGCAACTATATAGTTTAAATGAAGTGTCATAACTTCCAAGAGTAAATGATAATGCACCTTCATGTAGCACAACATTCAATGAAGCTAGAGAACATAGATTCTTGTCACAAAGTCCCAGTGGTCTAACAAAAGCTAAAAGGAAATTGCCAGACAATTACATTAAAGCAGCAAGAGAAATGAAGCTTCGGAATGCAGCATCATGAACAATATCAATTTAGACAAATAAAAAACAGTGACTGAACCAGCAAGTACATACCTGGAGTAGTATATCGTCATTGCAACGGATTGATTTCTCCAGATAACACAGTGCAAACTCAACCGCTAATTGAATAACGGCCAGAATTATAGGTTCCACTTGCTCAGCTGCGACACCACAGAGCGGGCAAACACAGAAATCTTCAGCTCTCAATTCTAATATCGCATATCAACATAACATACAAATACATGAATCACGAGTTTAATCCTACTAAGAAGACTCGGAGCGTACCAGAAGAAGATCGAGTGGAGTGAACGACGGCGAGAGCCAACGAAGCGACGGCTTGAATCTGAGACTGGTCCCATGCTTCGAGCCCTAGCTTACTCTCCCCATCACCGATCGTCTCGAGGGCGTTGTTGAGGATCGCGTGGAGTTGCTGGAAGCCTGTCCTGAGGGAGGAATCGGAACGAATCCTCAGAGACAGATCGTCTCCGGAGGAGAGAGCATCGAGAAGCTTGGCGATCTCGGCCATGACTCCGATGCGATAGACGGAGCGATCAGTGCATTAGAAAGCAGAGCGCTGTCGCGCGCGATACAATATGAGAGAGATAGAGAAGCCAAGTAAGAGTGAAAATGGAGATATGTTGAGTGACACACAACAAAGAGTTATGAATTTTGATGGAGTGGCGAGTTTTGAAGGAGGGTTTAGAAATTAGAATTCGTTCCAGCTTGGGAAATGAAGCCGAGTGCTGAGTACGTTAACGTATTATATAGTTTGTTTTTTTTTTTTTTTTTTAAATTACTAGTGAGATTAATCCAATTCAATTGGGGAAAGAAATTGATTTTACACACAACATTCATAATTCAATTTGGTTTAGTTTAGGAAGGAACCACAGATAATCGCTAATAACCTTAACATGCATTTAACCATTTACTATTCTTAGTCGACAATACCTGATTAAGTCACTCGATTTGACAATACCTGATTGAGTCACTGAATTCGAGAATACCTGATTGAGTCACTGATAAGAACTATTTTCGATCGAGGCCAATCACAATCTCGACCTATTCGACTTAAAGTATATGTCGGAGCTGGCTGTGAATCACTGTAGCCCTGCGCTACTAGGGACCCAACCCCGACTAGTTCAGGTTGGGACAATCACCCCAGTCATGACCACTTGAAGGTATGGACTTGGGTTGTTGGCCTCAATCCATTCCCATTATAGTGGGTGCCCATGAATCTTAATACATGTGGCTAATGGGGCGCTACTCCTAAGCTTGCCTATTACATGCAGACATGTGTTGGACATGTCGGGAGCCCAGCATGTGCCTCCTCTCTCTTTCCAATAAATATCGCATTTATGAATATGAGGGGAGACTTTTTGTCACTTCTGACCTACCACTAAGAAACTCGGGGCCTTATGACCTTACGTCATCACCCGAGCTTAAAACTTAAACCAACAAGCATACTAGAGAATGATTCACCTACAAATCGACCTCATAGCTTATACCTATTTGTGGGAACCACCATATTTACTACATCGATTTGAGTTATTAAGGAGGTGATTGAAATATTAGAGCGATTCAGCTTTTGCATTGAATTATTATCTTTTAGTAAAAAAGTATAGACGTATGAATGATTTGAACTGTTGATTACTTTAATCACATAATTATCAAATGAGATTTTAGAAAGCAATGAACCACTCCATCCAATCCTCAAAATGTAGTCTTAATCAAATCAAGTTGAGTTTGGGAGATTAAGTAATTTAAGCGACTTATCACTATAAGCGCATTGCTATTTGAATGTGCTATTTAGTTTAATTAAGAACATAGTAATACAATCTACTACTTTCATTAATTTTTAAATTTTCAATTACACAATACTATAATAAAAACAATACAAATTAAATAATATAGTAATTTTAATATTACTCTCGTTATCTTAATCGTCAAGTTTTCAACTTCTCCAAAATTTCAAATTAAACATAGTGGCATACAATCCAACTCATAAGGGGATGACTTCCATTTCTTTATGAACATTATATTCCACAATCCACATCATCATTGGTCTTTTACGAAGACCCACCAAAGCAATATGTTTGCCCATGGAAACTTAAGCACAAAGGCGGCTTTCTTCCCTGATGACGTGGTAAGGTCCACAAACATGTCCTATAAATTTATGCATCTAATAGAGTTATACTTCATGAGAGTACATTAATCATATATTTTCTTAATGCAAGGATGCGCTATATGATGTTAAGTGGTCCACTAGTTTATAAAAGGGGCAGAGTTGCATGGAGATGGACATCCGATTAAAGATAGAAATATAGAGTTCATACTCTAACAAGTTCTATAATCAATTCATCATCAATTGAGAATCAATGTTTTCTGTTTCTTTACACTACGTACAACCCAGTTTTATGATGTTCATTTTGTGGCCCAAATTTGATAGATCCTTATAATCCAGAGAGAAAGAGAAAGTTGGCATCAAACAGCAACAATCGTTATCCCTTGGACCCGTGTCCAGCATGCTTGCTGGACACGGGTAACAGTGCCGTTAGACACTGTTATCTTTTTTTTTTTTTTTTTTTTTTTTTTTTTTTTTTTAATTTCAGATCACTTTGTTATAGAAGTATATGTTCATAATTTTATTACTATATGTTAATAACTATACATTCATAACTCCATAACTGTACGTTCATAACTCTATAACTGTACATTCATAACTCTATAACTGTACATTCATAACGTCATAACTGTACATTCATAACTCCATAATTGTACATTCATAATTTTCGAAGCTCTATGTTCACAATTTTAGAGCTCTATGTTCATAATTTTATCACTATATGTTCATAATTGTAAGTTCATAATGTTAGAGCTCTTTGTTCATAATTCGATCAATAAATGTACATTCATAATTCCATAACTGTAGATTCATAATCTCATAACTGTAGATTCATAACTCCATAATTGTAGATTCATAACTCTATAACTGTACATTCATAATCTTTGAAGTTCTATATTCACAATTTTAAAGCTCCATGGTCATAATTTTATCACCATATATGTTCATAATTGTAAGTTCATAATGTTAGAGCTCTGTGTTCATAATTTCATAATTGCATAACTGTACATTCATAACGGCATAACTGTACATTCATAATCAAAAAAAAAAAATAACGCCGTTAATGGCAAAACACGCACGAATTATTTTTTTTTAACTAAATGACGCGTTTTTTTTTTTTAAAACGACGTCGTTTTGGGCCCGTGTCCACAATTCAATGTGGGCACGGGTCCAGAGCATAATTTGCCAAACAGCAAAGACTATGCATAACAGCATAAGTTCAAGACCCACAAATCAAAAGAGAGAAAATGTGGCCCAAGTAATGACAACAATCAAAACAAAGCCCACGCATAAAGTAAATGAGGTGCATAGCCTCGACAATTTATATCACGAATCAAGGTTCGCATAGCATTATACAACAATAACAACAATATACATATTTGGTATATTAAATTTCATAACACATAACAAAAAGTCAATATTCTACCACGGGATATGATCCTATGACCTTCCTTCAAGGGGAGGGACAAATGTACCATTTTGAGCACAAAATTCATACTCATAAGGTACATAATTTCATAACACAAAGACACAAAAAATCATAACACAAGACTCATACACATTTTATATATTTACTTATTTGTCAAATTTGATTTAGTTACTTAAATTGTGTTTATAGGTACAAAATTTTACAACACAACACACAATACTAATTTATTATAGGTACATAATTTTATAACGTAAGATACAAAAAGTTACAACACAAAACACATACATATGAACCAGGATCCATAGTTTCATGAATTGCATAGCCTCTATTCGCATGGGCAGCTCAACTGGTCATAGAAGTGAAAAGTTGATAGAATGAATTGGATAGCCTCACAATATATTGACCGTCTAAAAAGGCCAATATGCCGGCATCCAACTTATATAGATAATCAAATATACAATTTTGTAGTTATTACATTAGGTTTAAGCTGGATTCCTTATACACAAAATCAATCATGTAGTTATTAAACCTTGATTGGTATTGAGTCTAAGTCAATCATGTACTATTATTTGTTCACTCTAACCTTTTACTAATGATTGGTGCATTCTTACTATATCACTCACTCTCAACTTTTTTGTCTTCTTTTTAGTCACGGGAATGAATTAATGGCATTTTTCTACAAAGTTTTAGCTTTATTCCAACAACATTACGTGTAACAGACAAGGCAATACCATCGTATAATTACAAAACAGAGAATCCTAAAACAAATGACAAAAGAACGGTAATATAATACGGAGTATTATGTATGTAATGTTTGTACTAAAAACTATGGATTCTTCTGAGCAGAAGATATGACTTCCGGAGGGGGAGTGCCGGGTGAGGGTTGGAATGGGAACGGAGGGAAAGGAAATGGGAAGAATGGAGACGGCGGCGGCGGGGGAGGAGAGGGGGTGAGGCCTGGGATGGGTGGAAAGATTGGGCGTGGGAATGGAGGGAATATTGAAGGTGGCGGAGAGGGCGGCGACGGGAAAAGCGGCGGGAATATTGAAGGCGGTGGCGAGGGAGGCGATGGGAGAATCGGTGGAAATATTGAAGGCGGCGGGGAAGGGAAGAGCGGAGGGAAGATGGACGGCGGCGGAGAAGGGATAATCGGAGGGATTATGGAAGGCGGCGGGAAAAATGGGTTGGGAGGAAGTAAAGAAGGCGGCGGCAGTAATGGGTTTGGCGGCAGAATGCCAAATGGCGGTAAAATACTAGGTTCCACTTGCTGTTCTTTCACCTCCCGGGGCGCCGCGGGTGGGATCAACGGAATCAGGGGACCAAGCGGCGGCACACCAGGGATCCCCGGAATGGGAGGCAGCGGTAGATTTGATACCGGCGGAACCAACGGGATTCCGGGACCAAGCGGCGGCACCGGCAGCTGCGGCACACCCGGAATCGGAGTGAGTGGCAGATTTGACGCCGGCGGGTCTAGAATCTTCTGGTTACAGAGCTCCGGCTGTTTAAGAGGCCTGAAAGTGAAAACCCCGGCCGAGAAAACATCACTCCCTCCCTTCCTTTCCTTAAGGCGTATAGAAGACGTAGCCGCCGCAGACGCCACCGCACACGACGGCTCGCCGCTGCTAATCACCCGAACAGAACATCCCCTGATTTTCTTCTCACCCCTAGCAACAGAAAACGGAAGATTCACCTTAAATTCTCCCCGACCATCCGTCTTCACTTCCTCGCGAAAACTCTGCCGCCCTTCACCTCCACATTCAACCGCAACAGCCGCACCTGAGAATAACAACAATGGAGGATGGAGGAAATTAAATCTTCAAACCCAGATTCTACTGATTCTCAAGAAACAAAACTGGGCAACATTATATTTTTATATATATATATTAACTGATGAAATTAAAGTCTGAAATGAACCTGAAATGAAGCGGCTAGCGTCGGAGAAACTCTGGTGGAAGCAGGTATGGCAGAAGACAGTGCCAACAACAACTGCAGAAGGACGATGATGTCTTGCTTCTGAAACACCATACGATAAGATTGAACCCAGAAAGAACACAACCCACAGGCAAAACACTCTTGAAATGGAAATCATTGTAATATTATTTGACTAAGATAATCAATCCTTATGAACCTGCATATATATGGATTCAACCACAGATTTATAGAGCTATGAACCAGTGTTTATCATCCGGGTCATGCAGAGACCAGTGAATTGCATACAGAACACAACAATGAAAATTAAACAAAAGGAGACAAAAGGAAATAAAACACAGGAATATATTATGATTGTGCATATATAGCTGGAAGGTTCATTATTCTGATCTTTTTAATCGTAGGAGTTTGTTTGTAATGGTAGGTAGGGAATGAGAAATACGTAGTTGGGTCCCAGTTGGTTCACGAGATGCATATAGTAGCCACATGTATGAATATCCAAAGTCAGCATTCCTAGTCAAATTGGTCAAATTATAGGCAATAATAACCAATAAGTTACAAGTTTGACAATTATCTGATATGGTTATGAACAAACTAGGCTGGTTTATAATGATCCTTAGATTCTCAGCTGGTTATAGATAAACTAGACTAGTTTATAATAATACGATCGCAATGTAAGATTTATCTGGTGCACACCTTTGAATAATGATTATAAATTTTTTGAATAAGAGTCAAATAGGCCACCGAACTGCACACGATAATGTAATTAGGTCATGAACCTAAAAAACCAACAATTAGGCCCCTACACTAACCAATTTCAAACAATTATTCCAATTGCGAAGATGACATGTTGAGCTGTTGGAAACCTTCAAATTGGAATAATTGTTTGAAATTGGTTAGTATAGGGACCCAATTATTGATTTTTTAGGTTCAGTGGCATAATTGAATTATCGTGTGCAATTGAATGACCTATTTAACCCTTATTCCTAAATGTTTTTAGGTGGTGATGGAGACCAGAGCCATGCACATGTATACCAGCAACAAATTATCTTTTCTGTTAGTTCACCGTTAACTTACTTATTGATTTGCCCGCATGGGTAGCTTAACTGGTCATAGAGGTGAAACTTTGGAATAATGACCAGGGATCGAGTCTCACCAGCGGCAGTGAGCGCAGTGAGCACCGGTCTAGTCACCATGATTTACATCCTCTCAAATGCTCTGTCGGGCCGGGGTGTGGGGGCCCCTTAGAGTTGGGGTTCAACCTTTTGGAGAATAATGTATACGTACGTTGCATGGAGATATATGGTTAATGTTTCTATGCTTATCCTATCAATTCAACGACTTTACTCTCGACCACCGCACATTATAATCCCATGTTCAACGACCAACTTCATTCGATCTCATCTGTTTCTGCCAGTCATGTGAAACTGGTGATGAACCCATAATATCCTGCGTACGCGTGAATTATTTGTCCTAAGTAAGATCATATAGGATTAGTTTGACATATCAACCAAACACGGTAATTTGGGTAGTTAAAGACTGTAATTAATTAAATTGCAATTACGTTAAACTAAACAGCTTATAAGATGTGGGGGAGTAATCAATTACGAAAGCTAAGGTAAAAAAGAGATGACAGAACTGAATGATATGAAGTCGCTGATTTGAAGGGTGCGTGGCGCAGAAAGTGATAGTTTTGTCCCCGGCAACGTTATATCTCATCACGGGTATGTGTTTGTAGGAGTAGGGCCGCCGCTTCATCGCTTTGTATTTGACGTTATCTCTCAACACGTGTCAAATTGGTTCATAAATTATGCTGGGCTTAGATTGATTTATCCAAAAAATATACTGGGCATATTTGGTTATTGGCGGATCTACTAACTTTAACCGTTTTGACCATAGTCAAAACAACTGAAAATTCAAACGCTGCTTTGAACTCATGGCCCGTTTGGTTCACGGAATAGGCCGGGAATGGCATAGCATTCCTAGAAATAGGCCTATTCCTTTGTTTGGTAACCATTTATATTACCAGGAATAATATTTCTGGTAATAGCCTATTACCTCAAATAAGGTAATAGCTATTACTAGGGCCCCCTGGTATTAGCCTATTACTGAACACTCAGGAATATATTTTAGAATCTGTTTTCTTTTTTACCCATTTCTTTAACCTAATATTTTTATCCTATATATAAATTTATCCTATTTCATCACAGTCATCGCCACCACCACCATCACCGCCGCCGCCACCACCACCACCATCGCTGCCGCCGCCACCGCCATCGCCGCCGCCGCCGCCACCACCATCGCCACAACCGTCACCGCCCCCACCACCACCACCACCACCATCACCATCGCCGCCGCCGCCGCTGCCACCACCACCACCACCACCACCACCACCGCCACAACCGTCGCCACCCCCACCACCACTGCCACAACCGTCACCGTCAACCGTCATCGTCACCACCACCACTACCACCCCACCACCACCATCGCCACCACCACCATCGTCTCCATCACATATTTTTATAAGGGTATTTATGTCTTTTAAAACATATTTCATTTCTATTCCTTAAATCAACCAAACACTGTAATATAATTTCTAAAGTCTATTTCTTCCGCGAACCAAACAATAAAATACAATTCTTATTCTATTCCTTGCTTATTCCATTCCTTATGGAATAGCATTCCTATTACCTCAAAATTTATTACATGAACCAAATGTGCTGTCAGTGTTATGGGAAAAATTATATTTTCATAATTTACCTCAAAATACCAAAAAATTATATTTTCATAATTTACCTCAAAATACCCTTTTAATTATTAAAAAAAAATTGAGAAGCCTTTAAGTTTTCTTAAATGAGAGCCTTTCGGCTTCTCAAAGCAACCAACATTTACGTTTGGAAGAGGAACACTGTTCATCTTATATAGATGAGCTCAAAAGTTCCTCTTCCAAACATTTTTTTATGTGGAATTAAAATGATCCGGCATAATTTACATAATTTACATCAAAAAGCATATCTTTTTTTTTTAAAAAATATTATTATTATTATTATTATTATTATTATATATATATATATATATATATATATATATATATATATATATATATTTTCTTTGTATTATTATTATTATTATTATTATTATTATTATTATTATTATTATTATTATTATTATTATTATTATTATTATTATTATTATTATTATTATTATTATGAGAAAATTTCAATTTTGGTCCACTGACTATTGAGGTTGTGTTAATTGCAACACTTGACTTTCAAAAATGTTTATTTAATACCTTGACTATGCAATTCTGATCAATTTTGGTCACGCCGGCCAAATTACCGGCCAAATGTCACCGAAAAAGTTTAATTCATTAAATAAAAGGGGCAAAAGCGTCATTTCATTCAAACCTTCTTCTAGCTTCGTACTCCCTCTTCTCTGACATCCCACTTGCTCGTTCTCCGATCTCCTTCTTGTCTTCACTGTCGGCGTCTTCGCAAAGGCGTCCACGATGGAGTCACAACATCATCTTTAACCACTACTTCCTTACATTTCTTTCTCCTCCTCGAGTAATCTTCCAGTGAAACACTCCATTTAAAACAACAAAGCCAAATGCACCATAACCAAATTCTAGAAACTACATTTCACTACCATACACACAAAACCTCCTAGAAATCCCCAACTTAAAAACCACACAACAGTTAAACCCTCCTAAAAAAGAAACAACAGAACACCACAGAAACCATGAAACCCAGATGGAAAGCAAGATCAAGAAACAGAGTAAAAAGAAGAGATAAGAAAGTGAGAGAGAGTGGGTGTATGGTAGTTTTTCACCTTCATTGGGAAGGAATGAAGAGAGTGAAGAGTAAACAAAGGAATTGTGTCTACGTGATGAGAGGCAAAGAGAGGAAAAGACTCATCTTTTTTCCCTGTACTGCCAAACACGTGAGGAGTTTGTCGGTGTCGGATTTGGTCAACAATTGGCTTCCCAAATTTGTTGTTGAAGCACACTTGAAGCCGGCTGCCGATGACGCAGACGTAATCTCTGTTACTGAAGCACGCATGAAGCCGCCGACGATGGAGAAATCGATGAAGCGATGGAGAAAGAGCCCGGCGGCAGTGCGGCACAGACGTCATCTTCCATATTGAAACGTGCGAGGGAGTTGTTTTCCATGGCCTACGAGGCCAAGCAGGGAACATTCAACAGCCCGGCGGCGGCGGCGCCCCCCAGCCATATCCTACTTCTGGGGCACGCCGGCGGTGACGCCGTCAGCAACCTCCAGGCGGGGAGAATGTCGAGGCATGCTGAATTTCAGTTGGAGAAGAAGGTGAACACTTTTACAAATTTTTAATTTTCAAAAAAAAAAAAATCTTAAAATGACGTTTTTGCCCCCTTTTATTTAATAAGTTTAAACTTTTCGGTCACATTTAGCCGGTAATTTGGCCGGCGTGACCAAAATTGATAAGAATTGCATAGTCAAGGTATTAAATAAACATTTTTGAAAGTCAAGTGTTGCAATTAACACAACCTCAATATCAGTGGACCAAAATTGAAATTTTCTCCTGTTATTATTATTATTATTATTATTATTATTATTATTATTATTATTATTATTATTATTATTATTATTATTATTATTATTATTATTATTATTATTATTATTATTATTCTTGTTGTTGTTGTTGTTGTTGTTTTTTTTTTTGTGTGTGTGTGTGTGTGTGTGTGTGTGTAATTGTTATTGTAAATTTTATGTTATTATTACATAATAATAATAATAATAATAATAATAATAATAATAATAATAATATGAATGTCCTTTTAGGTCATTTTACATATTAACCGTCAATCTAAACAGTTAATTTTACCAAACATATTTTTGCAAACCCCTGATACAATTCGTTGGTCAAACTCGCTAACACAATCCGTTATCTGATATCCACTAACCGCTAATCGATGATTGCCAAACAAGTCCACAGTCATTGTTCAAATATTTATTGTGTTTTTTTTTTTTTAGTATTACTAACTCTGTTATAATGTAATTTCTAACCACTTTCTCAAGAGTTTCGAATCTATGACCCATTATATAGAGAAGGGGAATTATATTTGCACCACGCACCCTAATTGTTATTTACACCACACTTTGATAGGTGTGATAGCTTTATAGGTGATGTAAATAAAAAAAATGTTATTTACACCATCTTTATTAAATATAGTCAAACATTATATTTTAAAAAATATTTATTATTTATTTTTATTTAAAAATCAAAGCATTAAAATAAAAAAAATAAAAAAAAAAACCCTGCACCACTGCCTTCTCACCGGAGAAGGCAGCCTAGTGGGTTTCCTTCTCCGATGAGAAGGCGACCCATGCTTCCTTCTCCGGTGAGAAGGCCCGAGGTTTTTTTTTTTTTTTTTTTTAATGTTCTAATTAATTAAATTTTTAATTTAAAAATTATTAATAGAATTTCGTAAATTGCATTTGATCAGGGTTGTGTAAATACCAATATGAACACTCCTATGACTATTTACACCACTTATAAAATTGTTAAATTTTTTATCATTTTTACAATTTCAATGTCATTTACACCTACTTTTAACTAGGGAGTGTTACAAATAACAATATCATAGGGAGAATCACTTCATGCCACTCTACCACGACTTCATTGCATCAACTGCGTCGTCTCAAAGATCCGGAAGCGAAAGACACTTGACTTGAAGGTGGATGAAATTGCTGAACAGCTCGGTAGCATTGCCACGACAATTAAATCTTTGAATACCGGTATTGATGAAAATCAGTTGTTTACAGATGTGATGAGCATAGGTGATGGCTTTCATGAGGATGACCTATGTAAGATATTTGAATACTTGATGACAAATGAGGTTCAGGCGCGAATTTTCAATGCGAAGAATGCAAGTTTGAAGAGGAAATGGATTGAGAAATTTATTTCTTCTACGGATTAAATTATGTATGTCTTTTTTGTTGGTTAACATGCATGTTAAGACTTGGATTGTAATCTTTAAGACTTATTTTTATGTATGTTTTGTAGTTGGTTGGTTATGTTGGATCTTAGTACTTGTTATATTGGATCCTAACACTTTGTGGACTTTAATTTTCAAGACTTGATTATTTATGTGTTTATGCTGTTTCTAACATGTAATTGTGATTTCAAATTGTCATATATTGTCACAATAGTTTTTGTACTAGAAAGATAAAATATAATCTACAAACAAAAATAAAAATATATTATTCGGTATATAATAATTAAAATGTTTAATAAAAATAAGTATGCCATTCTGTTCATTTTCTGAAAAATAAACCAAACACCAAAAGACAGTTTTCTATCATTTTTTGGAAAATAAACCAAACACCAAAAGACAATTTTTCATTGTGCAGCCAAACACATGAAAGAAAAATGACTTCTTAAAAATGACTCATTTTCCATAAGTCATTTTCCGGGTTTCCAAACAGACCGTTAGTGTTCCACTAACTTTCTTTTTTAAATACTCATGCGCAAAGACGATGAAAGCTCAGTTTCTTTAGCCATGGCATCTAAGCCATTGATCTTAACAACGAAATCGCCCAAATCAATGGTTGCCGGGGACTTGGACGGCGAAGGATCGGAGAAGACCTAGACAGCGGCCTGCAGCCGGAGCTTCCTCTCGGAACTCCGTCATCCTCATCCGGTTGTCTTGTCTCCTTCCCCCTCGCAGCCACCAATCAAACGTCGGCTGCAACCGTAACGGCCGTCCAAAATGCTTCCGGGCCGGTTGCCGCCGCCGTTGATACCCATGTCATCTTCTTGATTTTCTCGTCTTCAATTAAATCCAAATCATACACGTTCTTAGTAATCCAACAATATAAACATATACTGTGTGTATGCATGAGTAAAGTATATGGGTAGTAACTGCTGGGATGAAGGCTGATCTTGACAACTTTTTGCCTGTATTTCCTCCATATATCGCTTCATGTTCGGGTAGTATCCAATCTGGGCTCTCTGAACTTTCTCCTCTCCTTTATTTTTCTTTGACTACGATAAAATCCTATTTTTCGGACCAGTATAATTATATAATACTCCATAATTAATTATGTGTTTGTTAGGTTGTGCCTGACATAGAAAGGCCATCTTGCAAAGAGTAAAACATACATGAATAATAACACCAGCTATGAAGCTATGGCAGCCATGGAGTAGCAAGAATTCTGGAATAATAATCAACAATAAGCTCATATATATATATATATATATATATATATATATATATATATATGCAATTCTGTGACCACAAATTAAACACATGCATATTCACGTCCCCATGCAAAGATGCATAGATACGCATATAAAAACATAATCCCATGTAGCAATAATAAGTCAATCTATCAATTGCCTAAAACAAGGTAATTTAAATTACCCAAAGCCATCAACCCATCAAGACAGTGAAGTCAGATGAAAATGGCGGAAAAAAAAAATTAAAGGAGATAAAGTAAACCGGTGGAGAACCAACAAAATAAAAAATTAAAAAAAAAAATGTAGGGACAAAAATACTTTTGTCAAAAATAGGGTCTTACTAGAGAAATCATGGGAATGATTAAAAGTGTCCAAGATAGCCTAAAATTTTAAATGACAAAAATAATACTTTGGGTCTAAATTTAGACTTGTTATCTAAGATAATGGACCTCCGATTGAATTATCTATATATATATATATATATATATATATATATATATATATATACACACTAGCTAGTAATTGTCCCGTGCGATGCACGAACTATTATTAATTTAACAAATTTACCAATTAAATTTTTGACATCCTCTGAATTAGCAAAGAAAGTAATGATTGTGGAAACAGAAAAACGTACTTGAGTTCTTGAGGTCATAATTAGTTTGATTAAAAATGTAAGTTTAACTATACAATGTAACATTTAATATTTTTAAAAGTTTGATTATGCTATTATTATGTTGATTTTAAAGTTTATTGTTACTTATATTATTATTTGAATTTAATTTTTTTTAAAGGAATTTGAATTTCAAATAACTACTTTAATTATATAACTAACGTATTTAAATAAAACTTGTAAATAAAATTACAGGCGATATTTGTCGAAAATCTTCACCAAAAACTTATTCATTTGAAAAAGATTATTTATGTAAGAATTACATTGTAATAGAGTGGTAGCATTCAAAAACGTAAGAAATATATTTGAGGTTTAAATGAATATATACACAAATTATATTAATTAAATATAAAATTTTACCAATAAATTTGAACACAATAAATTTTTTTCTATACTTCATTATGCTTTAATATATATAGAAATACAGATAGAGATAGAGATAGAGCTATAATAATAACTTCAAAAAAATATGTATAAATACATCTACCCACACAATTAATGCATTCTACTTACCCTGAGCAGCTCAACTGATCACAGAGGTGAAACTTTGCAAGAATGACCACTCTCACCAGCGGCAGTGTGGGTGCGACCTCTCACAGATTCTGCTTTATATATATATATATATATATATATATATATATATATATATATAATAATAATAATAATATAAAGATAAAGATATATAAACGCGCACACACATATGTCTGTGTATCCATCAGTTGCATTATATTAGCATTTAATTTAAATCAAAACGCTGCCTAATGCAACTTTCTCGTTGCCTCATTTAATTTATTGGTATTTGGTGATGCAGATCATAGACAGATAACAAAAGATATACGCTACATGTAATATATACATATATTATGAGATTAAGTATTGGTATGGACCTTTTACCGCATCATTATATTCTTTTGGTTGGATCTTTATTTTTCTTAATTATATATAGTACACTAAAATTTTATACATTGAGACTAATATGATATGAAGTAGAATTTCAAATTAAAGGTGACACAACATTATTTTAAGATGACAGTATTTTCAAAGCTTTATATAACAATTGGTTTGTCAATTGCTTAAGCTTAACCACTACTGAATTCTCATGGAGTTCTCTCATCAGCATTCTGCCAACATTTCTTCTTCTCTTTCTTCTCCGCCAGTCCCTTTCTGGTGGCAGCCATCGCAGCATGCCCATTTCAATGGCTTCTGGTTCCCGGGCTCCGACAACCTCAGACGAACCTTGAAAGTGGTCGAGAACTTTAAACCTCAGTCGCGTGATGTCATCCTGGCTTCGTTCCCTAAAACCGGCACGACATGGCTGAAATCCCTCCTCTATTCCATCACCCATTCTTCTTCCCTCGACTCCTTGAACGACAACCACCCCCATTTGCTCGTCCCCTCGCTGGAGTTACTGGTTTTCGCGACCAACCAGCCGGAAAACGAAACCGGGGGTACCAGAATCTTTAACACGCACATACCGTACCAGGTTTTGTCGGGCAACTTAAACTCCTCGGACTGTAAGGTGGTGTACGTGACGAGGAACCCGAAGGACACGGTGGTTTCGCTGTTCCATTACGTGAAGAAGTCGGAGAAGTTCGAGGAAGCGCCGTGGACGGTGGAGGAAGCGGCGGACCAGTTCTGCAAGGGCGTTGTCCCTTACGGGCCGTACTACGAGCACGTGTTGGGGTACAGAAAGGAGAGCATGGAGAATCCCAAGAAAGTGTTCTTCGTGACGTACGAGGAGCTGAAGGGGGATCCCAACACGCACGTGAAGAGGTTGGCGGAGTTTTTAGGGTGTCCGGTGGGGGAGGAGGCGGTGGAGGAGATTGTGCGGCGGTGCAGCTTTGGAGAGCTGAGCAACGCGGCGGTGAACAAGTCCGGCGACATGTTCACCTGGCTTGGATTGCCTAATAATTTGTTTTTTAGGAAGGGTGAAGTTGGGGACTATGCAAACTTTCTCACGCCGGAGACGATCCGCCGGATTGATGATCTTACGGTTGACAAGTTCCATAAAGCTGGTTTTATGTATGGGATATGATATGATGGGTAATGCACTATGTTGTGCCTCGCCTAATTGGTCAAGTAATAAATTTGCATCTTTTAATTAAGTTTTTGGACAGGTGATGAGAGTTACCTTTCTATGTTCTGTACGCTCTTTAAATCTTTAATGTATTTTTTTTTTTATTAATTAAAACCTTTTATTTCTTAAGTGGTTGTGATCATTTCACATTTTTTATAGGAGATTCTTAGTGGTTTTTTTTTTTTTTTATTTTTTTATTATTATGACTCTATTACAAAATAGTATTTATTCTACACTTTTTTTATTTATTACAATCCAAAGAATCAATACCCCACCATCAGAGTTCGATCTTGTTGTGTATATAGATTTTGGTTCATAAGAAAATCTTTTTTTTTCCCTAATTAATATGGACAAATCACAAATTTGAATTGTCTATCTAGTAGATCTAACAATTTTAATATATAGTTGAAAACAAGGTTAAAAAGTGTAAATATTATAAACTTTGATTTTTATTTTTTTTACAGAGTAATATTTATAAAAGTAACTATTTCTCTCTCCACTCTCTCTTATTTATTTTTTCTTTTTCATTTTCAACTAATGAATCTCAGCGCTGTACTATGCTGATTTTCCAGAGGTCACACTATCCCGTGACTGTTGTAAATCAAACACGTAGTTCTTTAGCTATCTAGTTGTCATATCTTACTTAAAATTAGTTGGTAATTAGTAAATGGGCATGTACGTAATAACCATTTAACCACATCCCTCTAAAGATTAGTTCATTTTAACAATATTTTGTAGAAATAAAATATCATCAGCTCTAACTTTTTAATGTTAGTAACAAATACATCATTTTCCCTAAAGAATATTGTTAAAATGAACTAATCAAAAGATATATTGAAGGTTTGAACACTCAATAAAATTTTAATAGACTCTAAATTATTACATGTGAAATTTGTTTTCATATATATGAAATTTTAAAAAGCAAGGGCTTAGTAGAATAGTTGATATACACGATGAGAAATGATAGAATTGTATTGAATGAATGTAATAACGAACAACTGTACATACTGAGGGAATATATACAAGAGGAATTATAGGAAGACTAAGACTGAGAGTCATAATGTCACTCATATACAAAGAGTCCTAATTAATACTATATCAAATTGAATGGAATTGATTTTACGATTAAATGAATGCTCAACTAAAGCACGAAATTGATAAAATATAACATAAAGATCATATTTCTGCTTCATATGAAAATACCATGTGTAACGAGAATAATCATCAACAAAGATGACAAAATAACGATAACCATTAGATGATAGCAAGGGAGCTGGTCCCCAAATATCAGTGTATATCAAATCAAGAACATCGGAACTGTTAGACTCAACAGGTGATAAAGAGAAACGTACAGATTTTCCCAATTGACACGTTGAACATAAACTGGAATTACAACGAAAAGTACGACTAGAGCCACTAACCAAACAAGACTGAAGATTTTGAGTAAGAACACGCTGATGAGGATGACCCAAACGATCACGCCAAATCGAAGCGGAGGCACGAGCGGAGAGTGACGCGGAAGGAGACGAATTTGGAACAGGCATAGCGTATAGGCCACCCGAACTAATGCCCCGTGGGAGGATTTCCTTGGTGGTGATATCTTTCACAAGAAAAAAAGAAGGATGAAACTCAAAGAACACATTGTTATATGTAGCAAAACGTTGAACAGATAATAAAGAGGTAGACAGACCAGGAACATGCAATATATCAGACATCGTAAAAAACCTAGAAGGAGTATCAAAAGTAGAATGACCAACACGACTAATAGACAAGCTCATTCCATCACCGACACGTAAAGTGTCATTACCCGTGTACTTCTCCGAGGTAGAAAGGGCAGATATGTCTGGAGTTGCATGATTTGTGCCTCCAGTGTCTGGAACCCAAGTATGAGAATTTGATGAGGTTTTAGTACCAAAACCATTCTGAAACACCAAATTAGCCCGATGACCCGGAGCCCCTGAATAACGCTGAATACAAGTGGTCCCCGTGTGATCAAAACCATTATATATATATATATATATATATATATATATATATATATATATATATATATATATATATATTGAGTCATGACTTCTAGTCCTAATTTTCTTATAATTCTTTTTGTATATATTCCTTCCGTCTACCGTTGTCTCGGCCTTCACCATGTTCACCACGCAATTATGAAGGTTGTGCCTACTCTAGTGGACTTGTTCATCATATTCGTGATTGCCCAAACTTGAGCATTTAAAAAAAAAAAAAAGTGATCAACAGATTGCAAATCAAAGAAGGGGTTATTGATAATAAAATAGACAACATTATTGAGTATTTGAGCTGGTAAGCTTGCTTGATAATAACATATTAACATTTTATAAATTAAATATAAAATATTTACAAAAATATAATATTCACACTGTGATGTACAGATGAACATAATAGATATATGTGTCATGTTATTATAATTGAACTTAGCTTGCATATATATAAAGGTTATTTGCAAAAGAATCGTCTGAAATATTTTTCTTAAACATAATAATAATATGAACCATTATTTCATTATTAACTAATAAAATATTAACACTTTATTATTATTATTATTAAACAATGAAAGTAGAACCGTATTCACAACTGCATGAATAATTAATATATTGTGCGAAAACCAAGTAAACGTTGTACCGCTACCTACTACTTATAAGATAACAAAATGACGTTCCAAACTATGAATTAATTAAGAAAAGTCACAATAACACCATCCTGATGGAGTCCTCGCACAATACCTTCAATTCCTAGTATACTTTTTTTTTTTTTTTTTTTTTTTTAATTTAAAATTATTATATATGAAAAAAATTTAGAGTTAATTTCATTTTTTGTCCTAGACTTATAGATGACAGTTCACTTTTAGTTTTTTATTTATTTATTTTTATTTTTTATTAGAACATCTTTATTTGGTCCTAGTATTATTGTGTCATGATCATTTTTAGTCCTTTATCAACAAAATTGTTGAAATATCGTTAAACATAAAGACATTTTAATCTTTTTTTCATACAAAGTAGGTTGAACCTTGAACCGTTATATTTTTTATATTTATTTTTTGAAAACATAAATAATTGAAGACCAAAATGTTCTTGTATTTAACGATATTTAAAATGTTTTATTGATAAATAACAAAAAATGGTCATGCCACAATAATACTAGGACCAAAAGTGGATATTCTAATAAAAAATGACTTAAAGTTGACTGTCACCTATAAATATATGACCAGAAATAAAATTAACTCATAAAATTTATCTATTACACACCATTAAATAGTGATTACAAATTTTTCTTATCATTTAAAAAAATTAAGAAATTAAGAAAATGCATAATACGATAAATTAAAATAAATATGGATAGCTTTTTTTAAAGAATAAATTTTATTTTATTAATTTACTAATGGGTTTTTTATTTAATTATTCTAAACAAGCTTTGTTAGAAAACTAATTATTTTAATTTATGTTGAAGAAAAAAGAAGGTTCTATTTCATTCCAATTTAATTCATTGATCATGATAATATTTTATTTTTTCAAAAAATATAGACGAGAGAGAGAGAGAGAGAGAGAGAGAGAGAGAGGGACAATGGGATCTTTAGGTGAAGAATGTCTGGAATAAAAATAGTTGCATTGACAATGACAACTTTTTTTGCAAGGACGGGTTTGAGATGGTGTATAGACGGGACGGAGTCAGAAAGTTCATGTAAGAGGAGTCAGGATTATAGAAAAAATCTACAATACAATTTAACAAAAGTATCGGTCATACATGATATTATTATATATACTATTTATTATATTCTATATTATCGATAATAATTTATAATGATACTTTAATTATATAATAATTGACATTAATGTTAGTTTATACTTTATAATTTTCATAACACAAAATATATACAATAACAGTCTTGCTTAGCTTGTCACTCCCATCAAATAAAAGTTGTCAATTATTTTGTTAGCAGCATTTTTTCTACATAATTAATTGATATTCGTTTTACTAATTACCAAAATTTGAAGAATGAGGACGAAACTCAAAATTACGAATTAAAAAACCAATATTAATATTAGTTTTTTTTTTTTCAATTTCAAAAGTAATATTAAATTAACAAATATGCATCTTAAAAGTGTAAAAAAAAAATAAAAGTACATAATAACTAACTAATTAATTAATTATTTGATTTATTTTTTTTATTTGGTGAATTTGAACTTCAATTTATGTTTAGGCTTATATTTAATAAATACATACTAAAATTTTGTAAATGATTTGAGGGAGGTGAAAAGAGCATTTTTATTCTTAATATATAATAATATATATTTAAATATTTATTAAAAGTTTTAGGTTAGGGTGGGAGGGGCCAAGACCCCCCACAACCCCATGTACCTCTGCCACTGTGTATAGAGTCTTACTCTTTTTTATCAAGAAGACCTTGAGAGAAAATATGAGTTGAGGTATGTGGGAAAGAGTTGGTGCTACCATGTTTTTAAAAAAAAAAAAAAAAATAAAATAAATAAAAATTTGTAGTCTCAAAATGAGTAATTGAGTGAATAGATCAGAGCATGATTTTGTATTATAAGGTTAATATTGTCTTTATAAGGATGTGACTTGTAAAAGATGTGAAAAGAACGTAATTTTTTTTTTAATTGTCAAAGTGTGTTGAACGCTTGCAACAATAATTTTTGTTGTCATTTGGCAATATTCGCCGCACAAAATTTTTAATTTTTTTAGTATATAATTTATCTCTCTTATTGTGAATTGGTAGCTATTGCATATGAGCAAATTTAAAAGTAATTATGTCAACATATGGAATAAACTAAAAACAAATGAAGGATCAAAGGGACATCTAAGCATAATTATTCCCGGTTCAATTGTACGAAGCAATATTTAATGATACCCGACATGCAAAAATGGAATTAATTAGTTTTTTTTTGGGAGTATTATATTTAAAAATGAATAATAATTGATTAATACAAAAATAAAATTGTAATTCATGCGCGATTGCGCGTAAAGCAAAATAGACTTTTGAGCTTTGGCCCACATATAATATTACGAAATAATTCCATATGAAACTAGACTAGAATCATCGGACCTCCGATTTCTAGGTCTTTGTCTTTCCCAACCAACGGAATTAGTGTCCTATCTACTTCTCTTTCCCTCCAATTACTCAAGCTGGTACTCTTTTTCTTATTTTTTTTCGTAATTGCGCATAATTGTAGTTTGATTTTGCTCTCTTACGAGTGTTAATCAGTGATTAATCTTGTTATCCGGTATGGGTTTTCTCAATTTAATTGTTGGAGCAGGTTTTCTGGGTAAAGTTTTGATTTTTCTTGTTGTTTTCCTTCTGGGTATTGACTTATCTGGATAATCTCGGATGTTTTTGTATGCTTGTCATGACTTATGATTATCTGATGATTTGTTTGTTTGATCGGTTTTAGTTTTGATCTCTAAAGATTAAAGAATCTATTTCCTTCAAACAGTCGAATTATCAGAAATTCCTTACTTCATTCAGTCTTTAGCATTTTGCTCTGTATTCATAATATGATTATGCTCCGGACTGTTCTGTTACCAATTCATGAATGTTTTCTTCATATTTTTGTATGTTGTTACAGTAGAACTCTTCAATTTTGGGTGCATTTTGTTTCTGATAGCATAATTCTTTAAATTTGCAGGTGATAGAGTACATTACTTCCTTGAGACCCCAAGAAGAAAGAGCTTTTGCAGATGTTATCGACAGAGAGAGGGTGCTGGTTCGCATTGCCACTGCTTCTGCGAGCTTAGGGTCCTCTCTCGGTTTCCTTTAGACTTTAGTTATCACTGATTTCTATTCACACACCTCTTAAAGTAACACCGTCTTGGCGTCTGGTCACTCGTGATTGTCAATGATACTGGAAAAATAAGTGATCTAAGGGATTGAGGTTGATTATTATATACAGTATCATGGGCGCTGTTTGTTGCTGTTTGCAAGATGAGTTCGACAATTTTGCTAGCCCAAACAGCTCGATATATAGAAACTGTATATGCCTGCGGTGTTTCGTTCAGAACTTCTTGCACGTGGTATGGAAGATTGATTACGTTTTACCTTCCATTCGAGTATTTAACTATTCAAGCATCATATGATTAAACCATTTTGTAGATTAGAGTTTAATGTGTTTTATTTGATACTCCGTAGTATAAAGCTAAGAGATAACTATAGTTTAGTCTGAAGCAGAATAGGTTAATGTGAAATTTTGTTTAACATTAATTTGATTCCATGATCTTATAGAGTCTTCACAGTTCTTTATAAAATGAGCTATCACCAATTCACCGTTGTTATGCAATCTGTGTTGAGCATATAACCATTAATGTGTAACTCAACTATTAGCTTAGGCTTTTAGTTGAGATGGAGCACATGCTTCAATTTGGTATCAGAGTCAGACCAAAGGTCATTTGCTTGGAACCCACCGAACACGTGAGGGGGCGTCTCTCTACTAATCCACTAGGACGGGATATGTTGTTATAGAAACTGAAATTTCTTTGTTATATTGACTGAAAATTTGATCTTGCTGCAATTGCAGTATTCATCGTTTTTTCGTAGAGGAGAGCAACATGCCATCCCGTCATCAACTCAAGGGACAACGTCGTTGAGTTCTACTGCATCTCTCGATACCTCTCTATCTGACATATACCGTTCTCCTCCAAGGCCACTACCTTATGATGCTGACCCTAGATATTTCCGGTTACAGAGAGACGGATTAGTCTCGAGAAGGGAAAAAGGATCGAGTCACTCACACGAGGAGACTGAACCTTTACGGAGAAGTGATACTGATGACGATTCAGAATCTTTGAGTACAGGAAACAAATGGGACAAGTCTTGTGAAGAAGAATCGAAAGAGTACAATTCTAAATCTTCATTGAAGCTGTCAGCAGCTAAAACTACTTCTGGGTTTCCTCATATTTATTCTTCTTCGGAAGATGAAGACGTTTGCCCAACGTGTCTTGAAGGTAAGTACAGTCGCTCCCTTCACATTTTCTGCTAAGAGTTTCCAGAAAGAAAGAAACTTTTTCGTCTTATTGTACTGTCAGTTTGTAAGTCTTTCATCAGGTTTATATTTGAGTTTATGTCACTGCAATATTTACAGTTGAGTTTCAGTTGAAGAAGGAATTTTTGGGGGTCCTTGTTCAGCTGTTCTCACAAATGGAATCATCTTTTCTTCGCAGAATATACCGAAGAAAACCCAAAAATAATGACAAAATGCTCTCATCATTTCCACCTTGGCTGCATATACGAGTGGATGGAGAGAAGTGATAACTGCCCAGTTTGTGGCAAGGTAATTTGCTATATTTACGTGAAAGCTGCTGTTTTTTTATATTATATTTGATGGTAAGATAAACTAGATATGTGCAACTGCAAGCCACATCTTACAGACCTATATTTCTACTTCTATGATTGATTACCAAACATCATCCACGTTTTTCTCCTTGTACGTGGCATATGTGAAAATGAAAAGCCATGTTCTTTCTGGTAATTTCACCTAGTACGTACTGACAACTAATTGTTTTAGGTTACTTGTTTATCATGTGATTAGTGTGTTAAAGCAATTGAATCGTGATGGAAAACCGGTAGCAGTAATGACTATATTCTTACCAAAGCTTTTTTGTGTTTGCTTTTTATAGCTGATGGCATTCGATGAGACGACTTGATCTTTTTGCTCAAAAGCATTCGGTCGTGGACGAAGGCAGCAAGGACAATAACTAGGAACAAAAAACGACGGGAAGTCGCTGTGAATATCAAAACAGGAAAATGGCGGCTTGTGGGCAAGCACAGTACATACATAAAAATAATTGTTCAGTGTAACTCTATTTGAGCACATTTTCTTCGATCATTGTGTTTTTTCCTTGTAATTTTTAATGGAGTGGAGAGTTTCAGTCATCTTTTCTGGGAAGAGATTGCATTCCTCTTTCTTGTCATTTTAAGTGTGTTCTGAGTTTGGGGTGTGGGGTAGAGTAAAGATTTTGCCCCTTTGTGCACCCAGCTTTATCTTACTTTGACAGAGACATTAAAATTAGCACTTTTCAGATATTGGAAAGTAGCCCATATTTGAGATGAACTAGTTTATGTGTTGGTATGTATTACTTTTACTCAGTGCTCCTACTATTGTTACTATTGTTACTCATGGATCGTAACTCTCCTGTTTGTGAGTGGTAAATTTAATAGTGTATAGTATGATTCTATCTTTATATGCTCTGAGAAATTAAATGTAGAGATACTTAATACATTATACTTGTGGAAGTGTATCAGAACTTTAAGTACACCACAAATTTTCATCAGTAGTCAATGTCGGATAAATTGTATCCACACGTCATTGAGTAATAATATGAACCCAAGTTTGACTGAAGTAATTGTTATTCTAAGGTAATTGTATTTCTTGAGATTTGAAGATAGTGTGTATTTCTATGAAAGACATTTTTATGGAGAACATTAAGTGATATCTTGGCCACTATCACCAACTTGAATATAAGGAGGGTGGGAATTGAGCCTACTTGTACTATGTGTGGTACTACTCATGAGGATACTATGCATTCATTGGTTTTGTGTGTTTTTGTAAGCTCCATATGGCATGAATCCCACCTTTCAATCTCCAATATTGTGGCAAATAATTTTCATTCTTGGTTTGGTGAAGTTATGAATATTATAGACACTAATGGAATTATGTTCACAGCTGCGATCCTTTTCCTTTATTATATTTGGAGGGCGAGAAATGGTGCAGTTTGGGATGCTTATCTACCGACTCTGTGAAAGCTAGTCACGATGGCAATTACTGCGCTCCATGCATGGCGACATGTCCACCACAGCAACAGTCAGCAGCCAGCTCTCCCGGTTTTAAGTACGGCCGAGCCTGCCGCAACTCTACCTGTCGCTACCGGCCATGCCCGCCACTCTTGTTTCGAGCATGCCACTTCGACGTAGCTTACCATCCTGCGACGAACAAGGCATCCGTTGGGGCGATACTTCGAGACGAGAACGGAGGATACCTTGCAGCGTTCAACATTACCCTTCCCGATTGCTTTTCGCCATTAATGGCTGAGGCTTACGCGTGCAAGGAAGCCTTGTCATGGCTCAGAAATCCTGGGGAACGGTCTATTTAGCTCTACATGGATTGCCTAACTCTTCACCACTACTTGTCTTCCACCATTGGACCAGTTCGTTCGTACATTGGCTATGTCATAGATAGTTGAAATCTTTTATTACTTATTTTGATTACTGTTCTATCGAATTCATTCCTAGATCAGGTAATTTAATAGCTCATACTTTAGCATCTACAACTTTTGATCAAACTACTGCTATGTATTGGGATACTATCTCACCTGACTCTGTTTCAGCTTACTAGTTGGTCTTCTAAGGTTTTGTTTTGTTTTGTTTTTTTTTTTTAGTATAAATCACGAGGTGGTCCGGGTCTTTCTCGATTCGTTTAACGGTTCAGGTCCATCCGATTAATTTCCGTTCGCAGGGAATCGTCACTTGTAGGAATCAAAACCGTCGTTTCGGGAGACACGGGAGCTGGCCCAAAGGGAATCGTCACTTGTGGGAATCGAAACCGAGTTATCCCGGAATTCGTTGGTGTTGTAAGGTAGTTGCATTTCTCACATCATTTCATTGATTAATAATAAAAATCCAAGTTTGGCTCAACGGGTGAGAGTTTTAAGGTAATTGTATTTCTAAGAGCATAAGTGCAATACCTTTATTTATTTATTAGTTGTTTAGAATAATATGTCAAGGGACTTTGTGGTCCAATGGTATTAAGTTGAATTCTTATGATTCATGTGGGAGGTTCTGAGTTTGAGCGTCCCTTATATCAAGGGATATATATGGGAATTAATATATAAATATCTTTATTATTTTAATTTTAAAATATAATTGTTAATCTTAAAATATTGAATTTTCTATATTTTATTCTTTTATTTAAAAATAAAATAAAAGAAATGTATATTGATATGTGAGTCATCCGTGATCCGACCAGGAGCGTAATTTACGTGAAGGGTTAACCAGTCGGATCAAACCGGTCGGAAGGGTCAAGAGACTGAGAGAGGAGCTTGCGTTTCCCGAGGCAACTACCGCCGGAGCTATGGGGATGCCGGAAGGAATTCCCGGTGGCCGGCCATTGCTTGTGGCGGCGAACATATTGTTGCCGTCGCCTCTAACTGGTGTCTGTTTACCTAGGGTTCGACCCTTCATTTCCTCCAGTTTTCATTTTTTTTTGGGATATATTATTGCTTTATGATTTCTCTAACTTAACCTAAAGTTGCCCATTGATAATTCAATTATTGGGATTCAAAAGTTCTCATTTTTATGCTATTGGAGATTCTTAACTAATTGCTTGTAATTTACATGCTTGTTTGGAGAGGTTTTATTCATTGCTTGTTTTTTGAGCTTCAAAAAAGTTTTCATTTCTTGATTTGGTCATTATTTCATATTGAGTCTCCTAAGAGAATTTTAAGCTGGGGGAAAGTTGGGAGAATATAGAAGGAGAAAAGAGTGAATTTTGACTTGGCATCCATTAAAGACATTCACTGCATAAATAAGAGGTTTAAGAGAAGTTGAGTCTGTAGAGAACTTTTCCAAATAGAAAAAAAAATATTGAGAAATATCTTAAACCAGTTGTAGTTGCTGTATGTAGAATATAATGAAAGTTGCAAGGAGTTATAAATTTATATCCTCCCAAACAGGGCTAATGAATTTGGGCATTGGGTGACAGATGCATGTTTTTTTTTTTTTTTTAAAAAAAAAAAAAAATGTATTTTACATTTTACCTGCCATGGCATTCGATAACAATTGTTATTTCTATCTAATCCATCATTTTTTTGTTAGTATGCCCAGATTTTGTTAACAAGATGATATTATTTGGATACGAGCTCGTGTTTAAAAGGGGGGCTACATTATATTTCGTGTACAAATGTCTCATACAAGCTTGGAGTTCCAGGAAGGGAATGGTGGGATATAGCTCTTACAAGAAAAGATCTTCTATATAGCTCGGTGGTTGAGAGATGGTTAAGAAAGAAGAAGTACAACGTTGTTGTTTCATAGGACTTCCGTTCTAAAATGTAAGGCAGATTGGCTGGCGGGTTTTCAGTCGTTGTTGTTGGGATGGCGAAGCATCCATGGCGGCACGAGGGAGGTAGAACAAGGGGGAGCTTGACCTCTATTCTCTGAATTTTTAGCAGCTTCTGTTGCCCTAGCTATGCTGCTGTGAAATTGCAATATGGTTAGATGCTAACACCATTGTTATCAAAGAAAGTTAGAAAACAATTGCAGATTTAACATCCCTTGGCATGCAGGCCTTCATCCTGCTACTAAATCTCATTGCATCATAATCTTGATTGTATTTCACCTCAATTAAAAGTATAAAGGTATGCGTTTATTATTTTATTCGGAGTATCTGTCTTTTGCTGGTGGTCATTACTTGCCCACAAAAGACGAAATTTCATCGCCTATAAGTCCTCCACACCCGGCCTGAAAAGGTGTAAATTGAAGTAACTCAATAGCCCATTATGTGGGAGGACTCATGTCTGGTGCCCACAAGCCTGCCCACGTATAACTCCCACACTGTGACTGTCAGTGTTCGATAATGTGTCATTACTCAGAATCTATCACTTAGTAGCCAATTGAGCTATCTGTGCTGGTGGGCATTACTTAGAGTATGCATAAAGAGAGAGAGAGAGAGAGAGAGAGTACCCAATGGTTAGGTTGGGAAGTGGTAAAGGTGAAACCAGAGGGTGGGGTGGCATGGAGGTGGATGCTGAGTTTTGGACTAATTTCTGTTGCTCTACCTGCTTTGCCAAGATATTGTTTTGTACCTGCAATGCTCTCTCCTGCCATAAATCAATACAATTCAACTTTTCGAAAAATCATTTGCAGTTGTAATAGACATGAATTAATGTTAGTTTGAGCTCATAAAAGAAGAAGCAACAAATATACAGTACCTTTTTCTGAAGCTCAGATATTGACTCATGCATAAGCTGGTTCTGCACATACATTAACCAGTGGCAATAAGAACATAAATGATGTGTAATTTATCGGTGTTTGTACTTGTCGAGCATAATATAATATAATATAATATATAAGTGTGTAGTCTAACCAAGACGATACTTGCCTTTCTTGTTCTTATTCGCTTTAGACCTGTGTCTAGCTGTTGCTCTAAACTCTGAAGCTCTCTTAAACTGAGGGGTTCCAGATCATCTCCCAGAAAATTCCTGCATATATATTTTATGGAGGATTCAACCATCACTGTCTATATATATATAAACCAGTTCTGATCTAACAAAGAATCATCACACGACAGGCTTTAATTTTCTTGCCACCATGAAGCCAGTCTGGTATATATACCTCGTACTCCTTTGCAGAAGTTCAATTCTTGAAACGAGTTTAGGGTATTGACAAGACCAGTTTTGCTGCACAGTTCCAAGAAGTGAACAAAATGAGAAGACATCTTAAGATAATCTTAAATGATTCCAATATCTTCAACCCATTTGAAAAATCTTGAGAACTTTGTAATAAAAAAAAGATCAAAAGTAAGTCAGGTGTAAAACCATAAAACGTGTAATACATTTTAGTTAAATTGTAGTAATATTTTTTTTATATACGTCTCACAGTGAAACAGTCTCGCAGAAGACTTATTCAAAGATTTCAAGGGAGGTCTTAGGATTAATAGACATAAAGCTAAAGACCAAGGATGTAGAAAGGCTGCCTGTTGTTCGGAGTCGTTTGTTGTCAATCTTTGCTCTGCATAGGAGTATCTCTCGTACCTTTCCAGAATGTTTTCCATGCTGGAAACACAAAGGAAGTTAATTAGAATTCTTCAACACTTCACCAACCATATTGAACTAGCTTTAATTTAGGCAAAAATTTCTGCTGTTGTTGCACTAAATGTGGCCTATCTCAATGATGGTTCGTGTACGAACGATGAAATTATTCACTTCAATGATAAACTATATATGACGGATGATTTTAAAAATACTTTCATTGATTAAACTAAATGTTCACTTTAAATGAATCAATCGATCACTTCTGCTCTTAAAAAAAGAATCTATTTTAATTGTATTGAATATTCATGTTTAACGAGATTCAAAGTTAATAAACTGAATGTTGGTATGTCACACCATTGGAGTCCAAACTTTATACATGTTATTAATCATGCATTAAAAAGACCAAAATAGAAACATGACATTAGCATGCACCTAAGTATGACAAACATTAGAAAGCATGATTGCAAAATAACAAATGACTGTATTCCTGACAAATAAAGGAGCTTTATAGTTTATATATATATATATATATATATTATATAGACTAGCTGGGTATCTATACTTGCCCTATGTTTTAGCTTGCATTATCACAGTATAAAACAAAGGGGAATAAATGAACAAATTCTGGGTTTGTTTGAAGGTTCTGATTTGTATCAATAATATTCTTCACCATATACAATACCTTAACATGCTTTGGTGGCAAAGCATGATATCACTATGAGTATATATGATTGTGTGTGTGTGTGTACACACACACACACATATATATATATATGAGTGATTGCTTGGTTACATCATTACCCAACTAAAGTATAAAAATGGGCATTTTGAATACTTTAGCAGTATAATCTTTGTGCTACTGCCACCTACTGCAAAAGCATGGGTGAATTGAATGAAGAAGAAAGGCACAAAAAGAGTGCAGGGAAGTCTAAGGAATATATATGTAACCTCCATTGTTGAAGAGCAATTGTATATAATTATAAAACAAGGTTTTATTTTCCTTTGCTGGCTAGAGTCAAAATGCGGGTTTTATCTCGTGTACACACTTGGTATGTAGTAATAATTGCGGGTTTCATCGTCATCCAAAACATGTTTGTATGTATATATGTACTGTGTTCTCTCTAGAGTTTTCTTTCAATTTTCACAAAGAAAAAGAGATTTGCATAAAGCATTCACAGAACCTTAGATGCATGATTACATTATGTAATACTTACACAACAGATCCCTTAATTATGTTGCAGACTAAACTTTCTCCAACATAGTACTAGGAATAGTAACTGCAGACTGAAAAAGAGACACACATGAATATTAATGGTAAAAGGCAATCCATAGACACAAGGCTCTAGGATATATGATCCGGCCTCTAATTTGATGATACCTACCTACATCAAATGTTGTTGTCATTACATGCAAAAACAAAAGTTTTATGTTCCCTATACAACTGCTAATTTTCTGCAAACAATCATACCAGCCACTGCTAAGAACCAAGAAAAAAAAAAACCAAGTTTTTATGTGTTGTAGTAGCTAGCTAGCATGAGATCAAACATCTTACAAAACAAGAAAATGTGACCTTCAGAAATAAGGCGAGATTTACCCAGAACACACTTTCAGGTAATGATAATAATGTGGTTTCCCTCATCATGTGCCCATCAAACCTCAAAAGAGAACTAACTAACCTTAAAAAACCAGCAATTATGTGTTGTGTAATGGGAGAGACTGTCAGACTGGTGGAGATTATAATTAAACTAAAAGGGCTTATAATCCATGATTATGGCAAGCTAAAAATGGTATTTAATTATCTGCTTAAACACCTCAATAAAATTGAATGAAAGTATGAAACCCAAAATACAAAACTTTTAGCAGTATTCTACCTGGAATCAGTGGAGTACTCAAACAGCTTCCCTTGGGTGGAGAAGACAATCAAAGCCACGTCAGCATCACACAGCACAGAGATCTCATGAGCTTTCTTCAACAGCCCAGACCGCCTCTTGGAGAAGGTGACTTGCCTGCTAATCTTGTTCTCGATCCGCTTCAGTTCAACCCTACCTCTCCCCATTTAATTTCCTCCTATAAAAACCAAAGATTTTGAAGCAATTCAAGAAACCCTAAATCTTGCACACAATATATATACTCTTTTCACCAAAGTTTTGATCTTTTATATGGGATGTTCATGCCACTACCAAGCTTTAGTCAATGCCCAAGCTTCTTCAGAGGTGTATGTATAATTGTATAAAGCTTCACTCTTTGTAGGGAACCCAGTGGTAGTAGCAGAAGGGTGTATTTATTTATACTTGTATAATATATATATTATCCATGTGGTCCGGTGCGAACTTTGTTATCTGACGAGTATAATACTATATGTGTATATGTATACTCGATTAATGTGGTACAAACTTTATTACTTGACAACTGTGATATTTTCTTTAATCTATACATATACTTGTTTAACGTGGTACAAACAAACTTTCTTACCTTATGAATATAATACTCATTATTTATAGGCATAATTAAACTTTATTATCTGACGAGTATAGCACTCTTTACTTATATAATTAATTATTTAATAATGTGGTACAAATTAAACTTTGTTATCTTAGCTTATAAGTATAATACTCTTTAATGACCTATATATATATATATATATATATATATATATATATATATATATATATATATATATATATATATATATGATTTTCTTACTTTTCTATTTAGACCATATATTCCAAAATGTTAGGAATTATCTTAGAGTAAAAAAAAAAAATACTGAAACACAAAAGCATAATAATATATATAACTTTCACACTTTAAAAAAGTTTCAAATTTTATACAAGTTATTTCTTTAAACCATAATTTTGACCTCATTTATGTTTAAATAAATTACTCAAATATTAAATTCACACAAAGTTACCAACATTTTACGGATGGTATGGCATCAACTATGTTATCAATTGGGTGAATATAACTATTTTATTTTTTTGAAAAAAGGGTTAAAAATAAAAGAATTATACTCAATATTATTTAATTACATAGTTTGACAAGTTTATTATGTATAGGTTCGTTATTAAAAAAAAAAAAAAAGAAAAAGAAGCCAAATCAATTAACATGGGCTCTTCGACCTTGATAGGCTGCTATACCTACTCGGTCGGTCATTTAGTCAACGTGCACTACCTCTAGGTATAACTAGTTGGGACATAGGATAGGCCGATTCCATGCATAGTATAAATAGTTCACTCGATCTGTAAGATCATCTTGTACTTATCATTCTTAATTACTAGACACTTCCTACTCAATTGTGTGCAGTCCCTCTACCGAGCTTGATGATGTATTATTTCTATATACCATGCTCTGTTAATTTTAACGTAACAGACTCTTAGACTCCGATCTAATTTATGCCGATAAACCCTTCTTTTATTATAAAAATAAAAAATTTATCAAAATATTGACTCAACTAAAAGAAATTTAAATTAGGAAGAGTTTAAAGTTTAAAATGTTAACTCAAGTATTAGGTGAAGAGTAAGTTCTGCTACATGTACTCTTAAATTTTACTTTTTAATATGGCGAGTACTGATAAATTAATTTTTTTTATGTAAGTTCTAATACCTCAATGCAGGAGTAAAAATT